ATCGTTTAATTACAAAAAAGGTGATTACGATTCAATATCTAACTTTATTGCATCAATCGACTGGGAGTTTTTATTCCTGCATAAAACTGCAGATCAAATGTTCAATATACTAATTTCTAACTATCGCACTGCTTGCACATATTTTATTCCCAAGATTAATAAAACAAAAAAAAAGTATGATCCTTGGGTTACCCCACATATTAAAAACCTGATCCGAGAAAAAAAATCTGCTTGGCATATAAACTGCTCTACCAAATGGGAGAATAGTGAGCTTAAAATAAAATACAATCGCCTTAATCGTTCAGTAAAAACTGAAATATTTAAAGCAAAAAAAGCACATGAAAAAGAAATAATATCAAAATCCCAAAACAACCCAAAAATCGTTTACAAATATATCAACAAACAACTAAAAATTAAAGATAGAATTCGCTCTCTCAAAGATACTTCAGGCAGAATTATTGAAGCTCTTCCTGATATAGTTGATCTTCTGAACTCTCAATTTAAATCTATGTTTACACTTGAAAGCTCTGAAAATTTTCCTTTGCTAAATAAAAGTGGTATTCTTTCTGAATGCATTTATAATGAAAACTTGGATTTCTCTATCTCAGATATTATTCAGGAACTTGCCGATCTAAAGCCTTATAAATCCTTCGGATCTGACGGCTTGCATCCCTTAATACTCAATATATGTGCCAAAAGCTTTGCAATTCCATTAACAAAAATCTTTCATAAATCCTTTAATTCTGGAGTAGTACCCACTCAATGGAAATTAGCAAATATTAGTCCGATCTATAAAAAAAAGGGAGATAAGTTACTTGCTGAAAACTATAGACCTATTTCACTAACATCTGTTGCCTGTAAAATCTTTGAAAAACTTGTAAAGAAAAAAATTTTAAAGCACATTAACGATAATAAAATGCTCTCTGCAAATCAACATGGCTTCCTTTATCATAAATCATGCGTAACTAACCTAATAGAAACTGATATCATTTCGTCCTCCATAGCATCTCACCAATTTATTGATGTAATCTATCTTGACTTTGCCAAAGCGTTTGACTCTGTACCTCACAACAGACTTTTGTTAAAATTAAGATCTTTTGGAATAAACGGCAAACTCCTACAATGGATTAAATCTTTTTTAGTGGGCAGAAAGCAACGCGTTACAATTAACAATACCAGCTCTGCATGGGTTGATGTTCTCAGTGGTGTTCCTCAAGGTTCTGTTCTCGGCCCGCTCCTCTTCATTCTCTACACAAATGATCTCGCAAAACTCACTGAAACTTCTGAGATATTTGCCGATGATACTAAACTTTTTTCTAAAACCTTATCGCAATCTAATTTTGTTGATCTGCAGGATCGTCTACGCTTGGTATACGAGTGGTCAAACACTTGGTTACTTAAGCTAAACACTTCAAAATGCTGCGTCATTCATTACGGTCGAAACAACCCCCATTACAATTACTTTCTTCAAAATAACCAAGGAATCAACCAATCTCTAAGAAGCTCTACTAAAGAACGTGATTTAGGAGTCATTTTTACATCTAACCTCAAGTGGAGCGCTCATATTCAAACAGTTGTCTCTAAGTCCTTACAAATTCTCGGTATGCTGAAAAAGACATTCACTTTCATTGATGAAAAAATGGCTCTCAAATTATATAAAGTATTTATAAGACCACATCTTGAATATGGAGTGTCCATTTGGGCTCCTTTTTTAAAAGCTGATATGGCTTTGGTTGAATCTGTTCAACGCAAAGCTACAAAATGGGCTTACAGCTTGAGGCATCTTCAATACTGCGAAAGGCTAAAAAGATTAAACCTACCATCACTTGAGTTTCGACGCCTTCGATGCGATTTAATCCAAATTTTTAAATTAATACATCGTTTTGATATAGTTAATGATAAATATCTACCAAAATATATTAACTCCGTGTCTCGTGGTCACCATTCTAAAATAAGGCGTGAGTATGTTCTAAACTGTCTTCCAAGATATAATCATTTGTATAATAGATCAGCAAAATACTGGAGCAATCTACCAGAGCAAATAACTTTGTACTCCACTGTACTTTCTTTCAAAAATAGACTTGACTCCTGGTTTTGGAAAAAGTTTGGAACAAATATTTATAAAACTGGTTGTTTATAGTGGGGTGTTTCCCCTGCTCGCTGTACGTGTACATTCTATGTAAATTTACGGCTACAACTATAATAATAATAATTATATTTTACATTATATATATTTTAAATTATACAGATTTTGAAGAAAATTTGAAAACAGAAAACAAGAGAAAAGTTGCTGATATCAGCAACTTTTCACCAGCTAAATACCAAGTTACATTAACTGTACCAAAATCAATTTCATTATTTTGTAACTTCTGTCTGGATGAGCTAAAGGATGTAATTTTATCAGCAGCTAAAAATATTTATAAGTTCGTCGGGCATAATGTTACGGACAGATGAAGATGCTTTAAAAGTTCTTAATGGTGGTGGAAGAGTAGGTATTAAACTAGGTTGGATATATGTAAAAACTGATGGAGGATTACGAGGCCTTTTATGGTCAAATTTGGTAACTATTGGATATCCAGATGGAAAGTGCCTTTCGCAAACAATTGTATCTGGACTGTCAGGTATATTGTCTCGAAGTATACCCGACGAATGTATTCTTCTTTTTCATGAGAAAGCATTTTAGTTTATAGATACTAAAAATGCCTAAATTTTTTAGGCATTTTTCGTATCTATAAACTAAATAACTGTTGTACTTTAATTAAAAATTATTAAAGACGACGCTTCCAATAATTAAACATAATAATTTTAGAATATTGTTGGCCCCCAGGCCTCTATATACGCGTTTACTAGGCCTGTTAGTAAAGACGGCTATGATTGGATTCGATCAGCAAGCTTTTACTTAGTCGATTGTCAACTCTAAAAAATGTTCAATTGCTGATTGAATGGTATAATATTTACCCAAACAACCTTTATGATACGCTCTTTTTTTTGCGATAATCTTAAAGCTTATTCCAACTTTTGAAGAGTTAGTTAAAAAAAATTACCCTTGACCATCTTTTTCTTTCCAAAATATAGTGAATTGGCCGCAAAATAAACCTTGTTGCACAACAGAATATTGTACCCAATTAACTTTGTCCACTCACTTGCTCCAAAACTTTCTGGCAAGTCTGCTGATGTATTATGTTTTGTGATAAATTAAGTTTTATTTTAATCTTTATTATACTTTTTAAGCCCTTAGTAATAGCATATCTAATATTAGGAAAAATGTGTTTTCTCAGAATCTGCCATCATCGTAGAGCGTTGCTCAAATATTTGGAAGTTATATTTTGCTACCTGTTGATGAATACTAGCAGCAATAATAGATATTGATGTCACGAAAAATTACTTGTATAAACACAAAAACGAGTTCTTTTGAAGATAATTTTTTTTATAAAATCTCGAGGCAGCACTATTTTCAATGAAAAAATAAGTAAAACCAAAGTACACCACAAAATTGTTTAACAAAATTTTAATTAAAATTTTAAAACCAGCTTTTTTTTAAAAAAAATTTTACTCTAGTTACGGGCCTGCACTCCAATAGTTTTAAAACAAGAAAAATTATTTTTATGGATAGGGCATAAAATATAGAAACGTAGAAAATAAAATCTTTCACATATTATTTTTTTTAACTTAATAAAAAACTTGATATACGTTCACAAAACAAAATAATTTAAAAAATAACTGTTTCATAAGAATCAGTAGAAAAAAGCAAACTAAACATTTACTTGAAAACTTACCAAAAATTAGAAATTTCCTTAATACTATTTTATCTATCATGAGTGTGATAAGATTTCTGTCAGCATAAAAGGTTTGCAATACAAAATATTGAAACCTATTATACAGTATGCTAACGAACACTAAATGAAAATTAACGTGAAAAAAAGACGTCAACGCGATTTCAGTCCGTAATCGCAAAACATATGGAAATAGTGGTTCGCGGATAAAAATTTGCAAAAATAATACATTAAGATATGAACTGTTTTTTTTGCCAATCCAATTTCTTTTGTTTATACAAAATTCATAGATTTATTTTTTACTTAACTCTCTCCTCTACAAATTATCATAATAAAAATAAAAAAATTATAAAAAATTATAAAAAATATTGTTAAACATTCTTAAAATTGTAATATCATTTAAAGTTTCTAAAAAATATAAAATGGTAAAAAAAAAACTGCTAGCAAAAAATATGAAAACTTGTTAGTGAGTAATATTCTCAAAAGTTGTAGAAATATAGAAAAATACAAAACTCTTACAAAAATAGCAGCATCAAAAAAAATAAAATAAATATACATTGCATATTAAACCAAACTTTAATAAATAATTGTTTGACATAAAATTTAATTTCTTTAGATAATAGAAATAATTATCAATTCTCATCAAGAAACTGTTTCGCTTTAAGTAAACAGCTTGTTGGTGAGAAAACGTCTATTTTTATAGCCATTATATATATATATATATATATATATATATATATATATATATATATATATATATATATATATATATATATATATAATATAATTTATACATACATATATATACACATACATACATACATACACACACAGATATATATGTATATATAATATAATTTATACATACATATATATACACATACATACATACATACATACACACACAGATATATATGTATATATAATATAATTTATACATACATATATATACACACATACATACATATACACAGATATATATATATAAATATAAATATAAATATATATATATATATATGTATATATATATATACACACACACACATATATATATATATATATACATATATATATATATATATATATATATATATATATATATATATATATATATATATATATATATATATATATATATATATATATATATATATATATATATATATATATATATATATATATATATATATATATATATATATATATATATATATATATATATATATATAGTAATTAATATATCTAATTTACATTAACCAATCTATTAATAGCAAAGTTATGAGCAGAACGAAGTAACTAGATGTATGCCCTTTAGCAGACTGGCTGTTGCTTGTTATATCTCCTTGAGAATTACATTTCAAAAAACTTTCTGAGAGCTTAACTGGATAACCGTACTCAACATTAAAACGGTTTTTGTTAACCCGATAATATTCAGAACCTAAGCAAAATATTTTAATATAATATAGAGCAAACCAAAATTTAATTAAAAAACAATAACAAAAAAAGTAAAAATAAAAAAGGTAAGGTTTTTAGCTATAAACAATAAAAAAATACATATTAAAAAAATATTATAAACTGTAAGCCATTAAAAATATACTTAAGCCATTGTAATACTGTAACCATTGTAATACTGTATTGTAATACTGTAACCATTGTAATACTGTAGCCATTAAAAATATACTTAAAAAAATATATATATTTTTAGCTATAAACCATAAAAATAATTATAAAAAAATATATATTTTTAGATATAAACCATAAAAAAAATATCTTTGAAGTATAAATGTAATTATTAAAAAGTTTACTAAATACAAAATTTGTCATTATTAAAACAAAACAAAAAGTTGTGATCATAGAAATACAAAAAGTTGTGATCATAGAAATACAACAAAAAGTTGTGATCACAGAAATACAACAAAAAGTTATGATCATAGAAATACAACAAAAAGTTGTGATCACAGAAATACAACAAAAAGTTGTGATCATAAAAATATGCATTTCAATATATCTTATTTATAATAAATAAAAAAAACTTACACAACATCTTTAAAATCCCTGTTACTAAACTCCTGTTCAAATGTTGAACATTTAAAAAACGTTGTCATAAAAATTGCAATTGTAAGCAAAATTATTCAGGATCATAGTCCAAATCTTACATTATTACAAAAATTTACATTATGCAATAATGTAAGATTGTATAACTATAACAACATATTACATTAAAAAAATAACATAAATGTGTAACTTTGTCAGAGTTTATTGGTCTGTATTAAAACACATTCTAATGTTTTATTTGACATAAATACTTTTTTTATCAAATTGGCATTTTAGATGACTTGTTAACTTTTAAAGAATCAAAAGGTTAAAATAATTAATTATAACAACAATATTCACGTCAAAAATTTAGAATATTAAATCAATATAGACTATACACATTAAGTTAAGTTTGTCATTATGTGAAAAAAAACAGAGTTAATTTGACGACAACTTACTGCAACCATATTTATACATAGTTATGTAAAAGTAATAATGCTGGAGCTCATACCTAATGTGCAAAAAGTCCCCCTCTAATGTGCAAAAGGTTTAGTTCTAATCTGTAAAAGGTCTAACTCTAATGTGCTAAAAGTCCCAGGGTTAAAACTAACTCTAATAGTGAATTGTTTATTTTATCTTTTTGAAGAATTTTTGTCTATCCAAACTCGTTTCAAAATTTAAAAACCAAAAAAGATTTGAAATAAGAGAATTGCTTATAAATAAAAATTAATAGAATTTATATATTAATAGCATATTGCTATCAATTTAATTTAAGAATTAATTCCAATTTTCAACAACATGGCTTGTAAAAACATGACGCCTACTTAAAATGTTTTGGATTCATTGCTCTTCAATTTTTGATTAGGATCTAATTTTATATTATTATCGTTTTACTAAATATTTCTGATACATGGTTGCCATGGTGCCAGTTTATAGTGTCTAATTTATTTACAATTTTGCATATTTTAATAAAATTACTAACTTCACTTCCATTTATACATCTATACTTGTTCCAGGTGAGCACTCTATTCAAGTCACTTACATATCAGAGAAAATAAACTTGAGATATCAAATTCAAAGGTATTTAGATACTATCAATAATCAGTCTATAAAATACAATTATTAGACAAAATAGAACCTTTAAGCAAAAAAATACAATGGAAACATGTAATGGTTTACATTTAACACTTATAGATTAAAAACATCTCATAGTTCAAAATAAATTAAAGAAATATTATTATTTTAATAGTGCTAAAAAAAAATTAATTCTACAAAGTATGCAACAGTTTCCAAAGTAAACTAAGTCTAACTTTATCTATTTTTATACAAATAATCTAATTTATACCAATAGACAGTTATAGCCATCTATAATAATCTAAAAATATTTATAACCATCTATCAAGATACACAATTATCTCCACCTACATATTATCTAATACTTAATTAAAAGATGAAATATACGCTGAAGGTAAACACATTTTAAAGAAACATTTTAATTTCAACAAAATTGAAATTAATGCATCTTCTAATTGATTCGTAACTTTAAAAGACCTTAAAACGAATTTTAAAGCAATTTGTTAGATTATTAAACAAAAAATGAAATTGCCCGTAAGAACTATCTTTCTAAATTGAATTCAGATCTAAAAAGTATTTTGCATCTAAATTAGTGGACAAATGCTCAAAATGTTATTAATTTAAAGATATTAACAATTTTTACCTTTTTATTATTTATTTATATTATTATTTTTATTATTAAGAAACTCTTTAACAATGTATCATTTTTTATTATTTTTTTTATTAGGAGCTATATATACAGTTTTTATTTTTATATAATAAAGAGTTTATTATGAACTCTTTGACAATGTATAAGAAAATTTTTTTCTTAAAAATATCTGGAAAATATTTCTAAGAAATATTCGGAAAAATCAGGAAATAAAAATGCATTTTATGTAACTAAGAATATCTCATGTTTTTGAAAAGAAGTCCTTTATTTGTACTCACAAATTGTTATATTATATAATGTGTTATTATAAATTAATTATTTAACATAAAATATAATATTAACATTTTGCACATAATCTTAACATTATTTGCATGCAAAAAATGTTTAAATATTTTAATTTTTCAAAATAGCCGCATAGAGTTTACAGTGGCAAAGAGGCGCGGCTGGATATGGTTGGAAGTCCTCCATTTTTTAAAATCCTTTATAGGAAAGTTGTTTTTTTTTACAATTTTTAAAATTTTTGTTTTTTAAAAAAGTTTTATTTCAAAATAGATTTATGTTTTTTATTTACTATTGTTGTTTATCTTTTTTTTTTTTCAAAGTTTCTTAGAATATGTGCATTAATACATACATAAACTGACTGCTAAAACCGTAGTCACAGCAGAGTGTACATACAACGATTGACTTAGATGGGGATAGACACAGTGGAGTGTATATACATCGACTGAGGGTTTATGTTTTGGCAGGAATTTTTTTATGTAAAAGAAAAATTTCAATCTTATTTAAACAGAGTTAATAAATTAAAATAAAAAAATTATTAAAATAAATTGAACTAGATTTTTAGGTAAAATAGTCGAAATAATTAATAATAAAAATACATGTACAAATAAGAAAAAATAAGTTGTACAAATAACGCGTAACCTAACAAAATATAGCAGAGATTAATTGATAAATGATACCTTTACTGTCTTACATATTGGATGACAAAAAAAAAAAAAATTAAACAAATTCAAGAAATCTATTTGGATATCTGGAAAAAGTAACACTTTAAAGAAACATCTGGAATTCCGGAAATAGCCGGAAAAGGATAATCCCTGCTTTGATTTATATGGTGATAATGGATTAGAAGTTTTTAAAAATAATAGTGATTCTCAGATGGAGAGGATGAAATAGCATACCATATATTTGCTAGATATATATAACATGTATTTATCTAAATGTACTGATCTTAGTAAATATATAGAGTGCAACCTAAAAAATTGTTAACTAATGATGTAACTGTTTACTATCAGTATATCAATATTAAAACTTAAAACTGAACTAAGATTGTCTAAAAATTTATCTAGTAAAGATGTATTCAAAATAACTATTCATACATATAATAAAGCATAATACTAACCTAACTTAAAATTAAAGCAAAAGAAAAAACAAAAACACTAAACAATTTGGTATACGCCTCTTTTCAGTAAAAATTTCATTGCAAATATAGATCATAATTAATAAATAAATGAAATCCTTTTTAAACTTGATTGATTATCAATTAAAAATAAACAATTTAAAATTTTCAACAAGAACAGTCTAGCATGAAATCAATAATAAAAATTGTGCGACAAAAACATTTTAAATAAAAAAACTAACCACCAAAAAAATAACGGCAAGTGGCTTAAAAAAAACATGTGTTCTTTACGCAATAATTGCTTGACAAACAACATTGTATACCAAGTGTCCAGATAACCTTAACTGTCAATTTAAATAATACCTGATTGCAATTTGGTCAAAAAACTTCTAAAATTAGATATGCTAATGTAAAATGCTACAATATTTTAAAACATAAAAATGATACCAAGTAGTCAAAAAAATTTTGGAAATTAAAAAATGCTAACAAAAATCCAGAGGTTAGATAGAAATAAAAAAAAAATGATTAAATAAAAAAAGTCACACCACATCTAAATATTTACATTTTTTTTTTATTGACTGACTTAAGGGATTAGCCATAAAGTACAAAATATTGACTGACTTAAATGGGTAGAACATGCAAGGAGTGTACACACATCAACTGAATGTTTAGGTAATACAGGCAGTCTATTATTTTAAATAAAAATTTAATTTGTAAACTTTTTGAGGTCTTCTATTTTAACTATTTTTAATGTTGTCAACTTAATGACAATATTTTATGGTAAAAAAGACCATCCAAGTGTGTGTGTGTGTATGTGTGTGTGTGTGTGTGTGTGTGTGTGTGTGTGTGTGTGTGTGTGTTTGTGAGTGTATGTGTGTGTGTGTGTGTGTGTACAATTTTAAATAAATATATAAAATGATATATATTATTTATAAATCCATTTTTACACTAAAGTTAAAAAACTACCTTTAAAAAAATATAATTCTCCATTAGTCCATTTAAATGCAGCATCAACATAATTAGGTAAGCCATACCAATTAGCAACTATTTTCTTTGGGTAGCCAGAGTCTAATAAATAGTCATTTCTTTGCAAAGTAAACCTCCAATAATATTCACCTAAAACATGATGTTTAACAAAGTATTTGATTCTTTTTTTTTTATAAAGTAAATAATTTTTTTTTTTTAATAAATTATCATAAATCAATCAAAGCCATAATTAATTTAACTAAAGAAATCTCATAATTTAGAAATTTCAAAAGAATAATCGTTTTTATAATATTAAAGTAAACTTTTACTTTTGCTAGAAAGTACTTTAATTTTTAAATCAAATATCAATTTAACAGGAGGCATATCTGATGTTAACTAGATAAGGGCACCCCCTCTAAATAATTGTGTATAATATTAAATCATTATAGGTTTCTGCAATTTAAAACCTTTTTTATTTATTTGGATCTCCATTAAAATTAAATTAAATTAAAATTTATGTTTTATAATTAACCAAGCTTCCAAGATGATGATGCAGGTGCTTAATTACAATACTATATGTAAGTAAAATCATTTACAAAGATAAATTCCCTAAACCAAAAAAAAGAAACAAAAAACCAAAGGATATATAAAGGTATTGCTCTGCTTGCTGAGAAAAAAAATACATAAAAAAAATCTCATTGCAATCATAAAACTATTCAAGATATATTTGAGCAGATGTACGAATATTGAAACTATTTGTGCAGATGTACGAATACTGTGGATACATGAATGAATGACATGATATGAAGTCATAAAAAAATAAAGTCTACTTAGTGTAGACTATGCAAATTTTATTATCTTTATGTAGTGTATAGTGAATAGAAAAATTCATTTAAGGAATTAGATTTAATTTGGTTACCCACAGACATTGGCATAATAAACATTGGTAGTCCTGAAAAAGAAGATAGAGACCCAGGAATTCTCATTTGATACATTTAAACAACATAGAAGAAATCTTGATGTTTCAAATAGAGGATATTAGACTCATTTATACATTTTTAATATGGCTGCTAAAAAGAGAGTTGTTTACTCAGGAGTGAAGGAAGACTATAAAAGCTGTAAGAAGGTAATACAAAGTCAAGATGCAAAAATTTGAATTGGTAATGAAGAAGTTGATAGATATCTGGATATGTTGAAAATTTATCTTTTAAATTTTGTAATGGACATTATGGCTGAGAGAGGATGTAGGAGGTTTTAAATTTTATAATGGACATTATAGCTGAGAGAGGATGTAGGAGGTTTTAAATTTTGTAATGGACATTATAGCTGAGAGAGGATGCAGGAGGTTTTTTCAAAATATGTGTTAATGAAGATTAAAATGATTGAAAAAGAGAGGAAAACAAAAAAGAAAAAGAGAGGAAAACAAAAAATTATCTGGAATTTAATTTTATAAATTCCTACTTTAAAATGTTCTATTGAATTTGTTCAATGTTCAATGATTTTTAGACAAGCTTACTTAAGACAATCAAGGTATCATTAAATGCATTTCCGCTCTACTTGTTATAATATAAAATGCGCAATTTTTTCTCACAGGAAAAAATCTAAAAAAATTTACAAGAACCTGTTTCCTCCTCCTTGTCTAAAAATGCACCCTGAATTAAAAAAAAAAAATTTGATTTCTAAATAAATTTCTAAATTAAAAAAAAAATCTGATTTCTAAATAAATTTCTTTTTTCAGTTAAATAATATTTTTTTTATAATACAAATGGGGTGATTTATGAAATAGTTTGTTAAGCCCTATTTACTTTAAATAAAACTTCTTGTACCTTTAAAAAAGTAAACACTGTAATCTATTACTAGTGCTGCATCCACATCACGAAAACCAGCCTCTAGGTTATGGAATCCATCTGATATTTTTCTGGCTGGTTTATACAAAGTCCAGCCATTAAATACTGAAAAACTAAAGTGTAATTAAATAGTTATAAAAAACCTAAATAATTTAATATTAAAAAAAAAGTCTTATTAAAATTTGTTTGAACTTTTTTCTTTAAAAATGAAAAAAAAATTATTTATAGAAAAAACCTATTCAAATATAAGTTTTCACCTCAACTTTTCAACTAAGGTAATATACTGTCAATAGTTTTACATGACATGTTAAGGTAATATACTGTCAATAGTTTTACATGACATGTTATACTATTTTTCTTTTTTTTAACTAAATTAGATAAACTAAATTTCTTTTTTTCACTAAATTAATTAAAAAAAAATTTTTAACCTCATTTAGTAGAAAAACTTCATGGAAATTAACAAAAAACGAGGAGAGTGGGAGAGTGGGAAAGACACTTTTCATGGGATAGACATGCTGCTGGGATCATAAACATAAAGTTTTGAATAATTAAAATCAAATTAAAGGAATAAGTTAAAAAACAGCAGAAAAAGTCTCTGAAGCAAAGATTCTGATTTTGTTATACAACATAAAGACACAATTTAAGCTACTTGTTGAACTTCAATATTACAAATTTTTAAATTGTCCCTTAAATAATCTCTTAATGCCTGATCTCATCAGCAGTTGAAAAATTCATTTCTTAACTGCTGATGAGATCAGGCAAAATGGAATGGATTTATGCAATTTCATGGACTTGTTAAAAGTAGTCCTGGAAATAGGTATTCATGGCCCCTACCATTAATTGAAAACCACCTGATGAAAACTGCATTTATACTACACTCATGTTTATACAGAACCAAGCAAAACATTAAACTTACCTACTCCAAGTGAAACATTTGTAACATAGTAGTAACATTTGTTTTAAAATACTGAACTTAAAGTTTTGATCAGGTTTGGTGTATTTTTCTCTTTAGAATTATTAGTTTGCATGAATATATTGGCCATATTTAATGTTTTTTAACATTTCTGTTATACTTTTATATGTGAATGGAAACCATTTATACTTTTATCACCTTGGTGATTACAATTTAGTTTACATTTCTTTAAGCATAAATTTTCAGCAAAAACAACAGCTATTATAATAATTTAATTGCCAAAATCGGTATTAAAAACTAATTGAAGGATTTTATTAAGAGTTTTTTACAGAACAGTTTCTATAAAAAACAGAGCTAACTTATTTTACATAACTAGGACCCATCTTCTGTATTTCTTTTGCTTTTAAAATAAATCTTAATTAAGAGGGTTAAAAAAATTAATTTATAAAATTTTTTTGTTATATCCTTATCCAAAAACACCAGTAGAAATGTTACACAACTGTCATCTATGTTAGATACTTTTGTTATGTAAAGATGTAAAATTATTAAAGATTTATGTGAAAAATACTAAAGTAAATAAGCATAGTTATGAAGTATAGTGGAGTAATCAACCAAAAGCCAAAAAATCACACATTTCGTGAAATGTGCAAGTTCAAGAACTGTACATAACATATATATATATATATATATATATATATATATATATATATATATATATATATATATATATATATATATATATATATATATATATATATATATATATATATATATGAATTGGTGAATGTTAAAAGGACAGAATTCCAACTATAAACTTTTGAGAAACTAAAAAAAACTGCATTTTCAACCGTAGTAAATTTTTGTTAATGGTTTAATAATTTTTTTTTGAAGAGGATGTTTTTCACCTTAAAAAAAAAAATCATTGAACCATTGAATATTTGTATTGAATACTGAAAATGTATTAAACCATCTGTTAAATTTTTAGAAATCGATGATCGATAGTAATGCTCTTTTAACAATTTGTCAGTTAACAAGAACTCTAAATAATTAAAACATACTTAAATCAAAACCTAATAAATTTGCAATTTTTTTTCTCCTTTAAATCTTATTTTAGCATTCACCACAATTAAGTTTTTTTTTATTTTCTTTTTTTATATAAATACTTTTGTGTCAAAAAATAAATGAAATAATACTTTCTTATATATATTTATTTAGTAGCTTAGATTTTTAATATCCATTTGTTGACATTGAAATCACTAATTGTTTTAATTTAAGTATATCCCATATGTTTATATATTTTTATCTTTATATATTGTTATATGAATAAATTTAGTTGGAAAGATATTTTATTTCTTTTTGTTAACAATATACACTTTAATAATTGAAAATAAATTTAAAAATCAACATTTTACTTTATTCTTTTTTTTTTATTATTTCTATAGTTTTACCTTTATTATCTCAAGATAATGGAGTTATCTTTTATGTTTAACTGCAAAGAGTATGTATTGATAACATGTTGAACTTTATGATTGATATTTTATTTCTTTAGTTCTTCCTTGATGTTCTACCATTGCTCATTAGTTTACTTATTTTTCTGTTAAAATATTTAATTAAGTAAATTTTAATTATTTGAGATTTACTGTTAATCATTAGCTATAAGTTTTTAAAAATTTTACTTAGTTGTACTCAAGGTAAGAATAATTTTATCTTTGGTCAAATTAAAAAGTTTGTTTGTACTGTTATTTATTATGCTTTTGCTATTTCCTATAATAATTGTTTTAAAATAAGTGTTATTTCTTCCAGATTTTTACTTTAAAACAATGCTCTAAAAAAAACGACAGCAGTAAATTTATTTATAGTATTTATATGTGATGTCTCTGCTCTTTTATCATACCAGAATGCAGAATGAAAAGAGGGCTCACATTTTATAAAGCACAGAGGATGTGAGCCAAATTTGGGGCAACAAACTTGGCCCAAACCTTTTTTTTTTTTAGCACCTCCCCTTACCCCTTTTTTTTTATTTTTTATAAAAAGAGTTGTCCCTGTAGAAAAAGAAATATGTGGGGTTGAAGCGGTGTGAAAACAATATGCTAAAATTACAAAAACATTATAATTAGTATTTTTGTAATTTGTTAATTGTGGATTCAGATGTAGATATATGTTTTTTTGCAAATATATATATATTTTTAAATGATTTGTTTTGTTGTTTTATATATATACAGTAATTGTAAATAATAAAAAGTTGTTTTCTTGAATGATGTTTTGTTTAAAAAAATATTTTTTTTGTTCTTTTTTATAAATAAGAACTTGTGTTTTTTTTTTTTGTAAATAAATTTTGTTCAAAAGATATACTTTGTTCTGTTTTCTTAACAATTTATGCTTTTTTTAATTGGCAATATATATATATATATATATATATATATATATATATATATATATATATATATATATATATATATATATATATATATATATATATATATATATATATATATATATGTATATATATATATATATATATATATATATATATATATATATATATATATGCGCAGAAACAAGTTAAGCGCATTACTACAAGAGGTGTAATGGGGATCGAACTCTTAATGATCGAACTCTCAAATGATAAGATTATATATTATTACATTTTATACTTTACTGACAACAGCTTCTTGTACCATTGATAATTTTATATATTGCATGTATTCAAAATGAGTGACAAAACATTTTAAAATTATTATTGATTTTATATTCTAATCTTGAGTGACAGCAACATTTAGTACCAGTGGTGAAATTTTATATATCTTTTCAAAAAACAGTTTCTATAAACTTTTAACAACAATTGAAGAAGAGAACAAGGTATATCGATTTATACTCTATTATATTACTAATAACTCAAACCAAGAAAGTATTTTTACATTTCAAAAGCTTTTAATAAATATCAGTAATAAATTAAAAAATCCAATTAAAGAATAATTTTTTGAAAGCAATAGTCTCGATATCACTCGATAGTCTCGATGTGTATTTAGTGTCTTCAGTCAAGATTCTGATTCAACATCAATTTATTGTTTGTAACTGTTTTATTTGGATTAATACATTTTTATTGATTTTATATAAGCAAACGTTAGATTTGAAATTGTTATAATTAATATATAATTTATTGTCACCATTTTTTCACATGGCGTTTGTTATATTGCAAAAATATGATAAAAAAATTTATTGTGTTTAAGGCCTAAAAATTATTACAAAATAAATGGATAATTACCTTAAAAAATAATTTTTAGGAGTATGGAATTATTGGTATTATTATAACATCAAAATGTCACATAATAGCTAAAAGGTTGAACTTCTATGGTTAAAATTTACAAACTCACCTATCACCATAAAAGAGGTAATGAAATTCATTTATGGTGAAAGCAGCATCAACATATGTTACTCCTTCAAATTTTGAGGAAACCACATATGGACCATCTTCTACACCAAAATCTAAGTGATTCAATCGATAATACTTTTCTTTATTAAACACTAATGTTCTATCAGTTTTCCCCTCTTTTATGCGTAAAATTGCGCCGATGTAAGTTGGGCAAACATCTTTTGAAACAACCGGGGTGTAAGTAGTTTTTAAAGTTGGTAAAACTTTATAACCTTGTAAAAGAATCAATCACATACTGTTCATGTTATACTAAAAAGTTTATTATTTATATTATACTAAAGTATAATATAAATAGAATTTTTTTAAATTGTATTTATTTTATAATAATTAATTATAATAAAAATTATTTAGAAATATTATTGAATAATATTTTAAAAGCTATTTTTGGCAATTATTAACATTAATATAACAATATTAATAACAATATAACTGCTTAAAATGAGTTTAGAAAGTAAAATAAATGTGACCATAAAAATTCAAAATTGTATATAAAAGAGAGATATTACTAACATGTACCTTTATTTAACTAATTAAATTTTTTTTTAAATATTAGAAATTAAGAAATTTTATCAGTAATTTCAATTTAAAATAATGTCAGGCATGTAAATGGCCATATGTTTCTTAACAGTTTTATCAAACTTTAATTTGATTTTAACTTGGCACAGTGTAAGTTTGTTTTCAAAGTAAGTCTAATATGAGACTTAAGGTTAACTTGTTTGAATTAGTAAAAAAAATCAATGCCTAATAGCAATGATCACATGGTAATATGAAAATAATAATAATAATAATAATAATAATAATAATAATATTGTCTCAAGTATTTAGAGAAAAACTTAAGAGCGTTAATACCCATAATTTTTGTCCATAAATGATGCAAAACAAAATTTATTTAAAAAATAGAAGTAGGAGATCATTAGAAGTAGGAGATCATTAGTGCAGAATATTCATTGAACTTAAACTTTTTTTTTGTTTTTTTTTTTAGTTTAATTTTTAATATTATAGTTTTATAAATCAGTTTATAAAATTATTATATTATAAATTCCAATACTTTTTTATGGCTTTAACAACAGCAACAAAGTTGGCCTTATGTTATTAAGAAATTTGAAAAAATAGTAATTGTCTTATATGTGGAAGATTTACTATATTTTGTGTAAAGCCTAAAAATGCACTTCTGTTAAAAAAACAAAAAAATCTTGAAACAAAAACAATTAAATTAATACACTAAAAAAAAAAATAAAAACAACTTGAGGCAAAAAATTAAAAAACAAATTATTTACCATATAAGCTTTGAATTCCTGAAATATCATCAAATGTCAAATCAAAATCTTGTCCTTTAAAACCTGTGTACCAAGGATACATAATGGCACCTCTTACATCTGAGTGCTCTAGCCCAATAGAATGTCCTAATTCATGCACTGCCACCCATAATAAACTTTTTTGAGATCCACTAGGATTAGCTGCTATTGTGAAGACTTCGTCATCATCAAAATGACAGTCACCAGCTAAACCTAGAGTTATTTGTAAAGAGGATTTTTAAACTTAGTTCTAATAACACATGATATAACATATATAATTAATTAGCAAAAATAAATCACCATAAATACCAGCTGATAAACCAACAAAAAAAAGCTTTTTTAATAGTGTAATACACATTAGTATATTTGTAAAACATTTTTTAACCGTTGTGTAGCAAAGGCAGAAGAAAGCATACTGTACCCATATTTGCTTTTTTTCGGTTTAGTATTCACAAACATTTTTGTAGTGCTTGCACAACTTATAACACACAGTTTACTGCACAAAAGATTTTATAGTAAACTAAGTAGTTGAGGTTTTAAAAAAGTGTGTTTAGTAGTTGTTTGCAAACACAAGTGACTATTAAATCTTTTAAATTTTGAAAATCTAAAATCTTTTTTTTATCAAGATTTTTCTGAAAACATTTTGTTTAAGAAGAATTTATTACAATATTTGGTTTGTCAAATAAAACAAATTACACTTAAACATGTTATTGAGAGGTATATATATCTCCTTAATAACATGTTTAAACTCTAAATAAAAAATGTTTTTTTTATTCATTATAAAAAAATTAAAATGAATCAAATTTTTTGCAACTTTTGACTTTACAACTATTGCAAAATCAGTACACTGTTGCCTATTGAAATATCCAAAAGTTGCAAAATTGAATAAACCCTCTTTGTATTTTTACAAGATATATGAAAAAAAAGTTTATGAAAATCATATCATATCACAAATGTGTATGCAAATATCTCACTTATGTAAACTTCAAACTATGTACTGTTAAAACATATATCAAGTTTTACAGTTTTACTTTCACTTGAAAATTGCATTGTGGCAGCATCTCCTTAATTTTGATCTATAGCATTATGTTTGTCTTTTGTTTGTTAAATAGTTTTAAAATCTTCTTCAAGCAACACGCATGCATGGCCAAGTGGATAGCTTGCAGAGTTACTAAAGCAAAGCACTGTGGCTCGAACCCTACCACTACAACCTTTTTTATTTTTAACTTTTTTTTCTACAATATAAAATAAAACATCTTTTGAAGTTTTACAGATATTACATACATAAAATTTTAAACTGAAACAAACTAAAAGGAGAGAATTTTTAAAAAAGTTTAAAATTTCTAAAAACATTAAAACACCAGTAAAAATTTGTTGCGCATATGTCTAGATAGTTGTTATTAATGTGCCCAGGTAATTAGTCCTAATAAGCTGCAGATGGTCTGAAAAATTTTTTGATTCAAAACTTAATATGGAAAAAAATCAATAATCCTATCCTGCTACTCGAGTAGGCAGTAGGTACTGCCTACTGGAGTACTGGTGAAAAAAAGGTACTGCTACTGGAGTACTGGTAAAAAAAAGGTACTGCTATGAAGGCAAAAAAAAAAAAAAAAAAAAAAAATTGCCATCTATGTAAGAGATACTTATTTTAAGTATTTATGCAATCAATAAAGTTTTAATATATTAATTCTGCACATTTAATACATTAAAAAGACAATTTTTTTTTTATAAGTAGGAAAATGTTTTCATTCAATTGAGACTTTTTCAGAAATAAATAAATGGGGTAATACTCTTAACCCGTTTATTTATTTATTAGGACTCTTAAGGTAAGAGTTATGATGAGCTCTAAGCATGCAAACAAAGTGCAATTTTTTTTTTGCTCTAAGAGCTATGTTTAAATGAATTCTTTTTCTGTCATTTATTCAAAAAACATTCAAATAAAGAAATAGAGGATAGATAAATATTTGAATAAGTATAAAAATCAATTTTTATAGGTGTGAAATAAATTCCCTAGACCCATATTTTACAGGTCATGACAGCTAGTATATACTAGATATCAGACATATCATTTTGTCAGTGCTTTCGGGCTTGCCCACATGCCCGCAAAAACTTTGGCAAACGCATAAAAAAAAGATTGTTAAAAATTTTTTTTTTTAAATTGCAACATATCTTTTTTGTTCATCAAATACTTTTATGAAAAATTGCGAAAACACTTTGCGTATGAATTATTTTATTTAGAATAAAAATAAAAGGTTCTTTTTGGCATTTTTAATCAAATATTTATATTTAAGATTTAAATAAAAGGTTCCTTTTGCCATTCTTAATGTAATTCTTTAGAATTTAAATAATTTTTTTTTTGTTTTTTTTTTATTATTATTTTAATTCCTTTATCTAGAATTTAAGTAACACTTTTTCCATTTTTATTTTAATCATTTTGTTAAATATTTTTATAAAATGTTATTTATTCTTTTGCTTTTTTTTAATTATTTCATTTAAAACTAAAAAAACTGTTTGATCCCAGTTTTTATTCTAATTATTTTGCTTAATATTTATATAAAGCATTATTTGTTTTTTATTTTTTTGTTGTTTTTATTTTAATTTCTTTTTAACTTTCATACAGGTAGTATAGAATTCTTTATAATTTTTGTAATACTTAAAAATGTAATTTTTGAAAAAAGTAAATGAGGTTCTTGTGATAATATATACCAATCAAACAATTTTAAAAAAAATGCAACATACCATAAGTAGCATTACTAAAAACATATTTTTTATTTTTTTTTATATCAACCAAAAAACACGGAAAAACAATGAAAAAGACAAATAGTATAAAAAGTGTAAATAACTAAATATTAAATTACAGAAAAAAAAGTTTTAATTTTACAAATTATAAATTATTTTTTTTATAAAAAAAGGTGTTTTCTAAAGGTCATTTGTTTAGATAACATACTAATCTATTAAAAAATATTGTTAATGACTATTTATACTTTTCTAGAAAGTATATAATGAAAAGCAAACAAAAACAACAACAACAAAAAATCCTCAAAAATAAATGCTAACCTGTGTTCTCAAGTGGATAAAATGCATGTGCAAGTGTTCCACCTTCGCCATCAAAAGCATATGGATCACCATGCTTTTTTATTTCAAAGGAAACACGAATATCAGCAGAATTCACTGGTCGTTTTTCCAATTCTATAAACTTAAGATTTGTGACAGCTGCCCACTTTTCAAACGATCTACGCATGATGTTTCTAACATCTGTTCGTGAAATACCATCATTGTTGTCATTCTCTACAGCCCATGTTAAATTCTAAATATATTAATGGTGTGTTTATTTAAAAGAATTTTCTATGATGGCTTAATTATAGTTTGTTATTGTAATTATTTTTATCCAGTACATAGTTATTATTATTTTTTTAATAATTTTAATTAAAGTTGTTATGAAATTTGAATGAACTGTTTTCTAGTCAAAACATACTTTACAAGTATTACTATACAAGTTTTCAAATAAAGTGTTGTAGATTAAGTTATAAGTTACATTTTGAGATATTTTGACTAAATCAAAAAATTTTGAAATATTTAAATTAGACTCAATTTGTCATCACTTACTCTTATATTGTATCAAATTTTATCAAGTTTTTAATAAAACTATTTTATAAATAATATTTTAGCCAATGGCAGGCTAAATAATAATCAATATTGATAGCAATTAAACAAGCAGGTACTTAGGCATATTTAACAATGATAAATGTTGTCTATTTGTCTTTTGTTTATTTCTGTTTATTGTATGTCTTGCTGGCAAGGTATATAATAAAAAGAAATAAACAATAAGCAATCACAAATTACTGTATTAACGTTTGGATTTTAACTAATCAACTTATAACTAGTGTTAGAAAAGTTAAATAATTATTACAAAATCTTCTGGCTGGGAGATCTATTTTTCTACTAATCAACTAAAAGTCAAATTAGTCAATTAATAATCTTAAAATCCTTATTTTTATTTATTCAATTTAATTTTTCAATATTTAATTTTTGCTTGTTCAATTAATAACAATAACATGTCCTTTTACATTGTACCTAGCTTTTTGATTACTACCTTAAAGTTTTGATCTAGTAACTTTAGTAATATTTATACCTAATTAAACTTTTGGTTGTGTATTTCATTAATTTTAATTTGCTTGTTTGTTTATTTTATGCTTGTGATTTTCAAAAATATTTTCATACAGCGCCTTTCCAAGTTGGCTCAGTGCCCTGGAGCAAAATTTAAAAATTCATTATCTTTATTTATTATTATCAAAATTAAAATCTTTAAAAAAGATTTTAAAGCTTTGTAATTCAATTTTGAAAATAAACTTTAAAAAAGTGTCATCTATTCAATCCCATTGCAAATATGAATACATAGACTTTTTGATATTTAGCGAGTATTTAAGAATGACCCTTAATCATTAGGGCTTGAGAATAAATTGTCCTGTCCTCAGAGCTCTCCTATTGTTTTGTCTCATTAATATTTAAATGATATGATGTTAAAAAACAAAAAACAAATAAAAACTACTATTGCTTTTATCAACAATTAGAATATTAAAGTATTATGTAATAAAATATTTAAAGTCTACTTTTAGTTTACTAAAAGTACACTAGAAGTCTACTTAGTCAAATTCAAAAATGTTTTAGTTTAGTCGACAGTAGAATAGCTTAAATATTGTAACAACACTATTATATACATACTAAATTTATAATTATTATACATAACAAAGCATTTTGAACTTTTTTATTTTATTTTAATAAAGTAAATTTAAATTTATTAATATTTAATAATAAATTCAATTTAAATATAATAAAATAAATTTATATTAAAAACTTTTTAAATATGAAAAAATAAAAAAAAATATTTAAATATCTATTTATATAAACATAAAAAATGATTTCACAATTGCAGTGAAAATTTTTACAGCAATTAATTATTGCTTAATGTTTTAAAGTATAAACTATTTAAAAGACTTTTTTGGTTTGAATACTGAAAATTGAAAAATGATTTTGGCATAACATAAATGGCTTAGCGCCATTTTAAACAAAAAATGCAAATAACATATTGCTTCTTAACAAGGCCTGTATATGTATATATGTATATATGTATATATATACATGTATATATATATATATATATATATATATACATATATATATATAAATATATATATATATATATATAAATATATATATATACATATATATATATATATATATATATATATATATATATATATATATATATATATATATATATACATATATATATATAAATATATATATATATATAAATATATATATATACATATATATATATATATACATATATATATATATACATATATATATATATATATATATATATATATATATATATATATATATATATATATATATATATATATATATATATATATATATATATATATATCATGTTTGATCTCAAAAGAAGTGCAATTTTATAAAAATTTCAAAAAATAATTTACTAGTTTTTATTTTATGGCTTGAAAACTATTGTTTTTTAACAAAAAATAAAAAAGTATATACTTTCATAGTTTTTTTTAATAAACTTTTTAAATTTGTGTTTCCATAAATTTAGACTCAACATGATATGCTTTTAAAAGACTTTTTTTTTCAAAATATTTGGACCCCTCTGATGCTTAAGAGTCTTGAGCAACCCCTAAAAAATTTTTTCATTTAAAAATTTTTTAAATTTAGTATTAATTTATTACATAGAACACATTTAAGGGGTATCATCAGACATTTTCAAAAAACGTTGTTTTTTGACACACCCTAATATATATACAACCAATAACAACAGTTTGAGGTTGGCAAAAAAAATTTTGATACAAAGGAGTTACCATAAAACATAGAAATGAAGTTGTCAAATTAGCAGTTAGGTCAGCATTGCCGAATGCCAACCCTAATTCCGAGGGTTACTTACTTGTTTAAACCATTTAGTCCCTTGAAGAAGATACTTTCTCTTTCTTTTTCTATTTGAATTACTTGTGATATCTGGCATTCCACATCTTGGTTTGGATATATATTCTCTAGTCTGCGCATCAAGCTGACCTGTTATCGGTATTTTTGCAAAACTAAATTATATGTTTAAAACATAAATTTCTTTTAAATCAAAATATAAAATGTGAACAATAAATAAAAATAAATGTGTTATAACAACATCATTACACGAGTTATAGAATACTATATCGCTAAAAATGTAAAATTTATAAATAAAAAGATAATATTTAAATTGCTCATTAACTTAAATGGAAAATTTTCATTACTTTTAGTAATGAGGTAGAATAAGAGTTGTGGCAGCATTCAAAGATTTAAACAAAAAAAGTAAAAAAAATTTAATGAAAAAACCTATTTTCTTGAGTTAAACATTTTCATAAATAGCAGAACTATCTAAAAACTATAGATAATGTTGCTTTTGATAATGGAAAAGCTTGGAATATTGTAGCTGGAAAAAATATCAAGACAAATAGGCAAATTAACGCCATCGATGCTATTGCTAAAGAGTAGAACGAAAAAAAAAAAAGAAAGTAACAAAGTCAATTAGGGAATAACACAATGTAATAATGATAAACTTAAAAAAAGTTTGACAATAATGAAACAAACATGATTATATCAAAAATTGACAATAATCAAACAAACATGATTATGTCAAGGGTAATTCCACATCAAATCACCCACTCCATTGAACCATGTGTCTTCTTTTTGTTTTAAATTTTGACACATGATTCCTATTTATAAAAAAATATTGCATGCAAAATTTCAGCTAAAAATGTCAAGCGGTTGACAAGATACAGCAAATTTAATTTGGACCTGGTTTCTCAAAATGACCCGGTTTTCATAACATTCTGAAAAGTTGTTTTCCTCAATAAAATAAGAAATAAAAATGGCAAAAATATAAAAATATACATTTATAATGGTTTTTTAATGCTGAATTCAATAAATGTACTTAAAATGCTTAAATGTTAGAGGAACATCCTTAAAAATTAATAAATCAACTAGTTTATATAATCTAACTTTAGGGCCCAATATCTCAAAACACCCCCGTCAAATTTTTTTTTTTTTTGCTTTCAATATTTTAAGCTAGTTATAATCTTACTAGGCACAAAAAATCTAACTGGAAAAAAAACTGAAACATATAGAACTTTAATTTTAAAGATGTATAACTTTTTTAAGAAATTCCTAAAAAATATTTATAAATTCAATTAAAATAAATTATTCCTAATTTACAAAGTTACTTAAATATACAAGATTTTTAAAGGTATCGAATGTGCAAGTTATTTTGACTGTATTTGTAATAGTTCACAATATTGTTGCCATTTTACTTGCACTTCTTCTATTTCAACATTTTCAAACACATAGTTTCTACCAGAACTAGAGCAAGCTTGTGGAACAGATAGTTTTTTCAATATATTGATGTTAGGAATAAAACAGTGGTCGTCTCTTTCAGGCCAGTTAAAATAGATTGATGGACCTCTTGGGTGGAGAAACTTAACTTCAGCATCAACTTCTTCTAGGTTGATTTCAGTTACAATGCCGATCCACCACTTATCATCATAAACTACCGCAACATAACCTCCTAAAGTGACAGTATCAGGTTCAAATATATGTTTCTTTTTAAGATTGTGAATTATTGTATATTTAGTGTCTGTACTACACCTCTTCGCCCCAACCCTATTATCTCCAAGATGTATAAATTGATGAAAGCTACGAGTACCTGGTAGAGTTGTTACATCAGTGTACCTTTCTTTTTGCTTTTCACGTTGCAATTGTAAGTCCAATCCCTTTATGTAAATGAAGTTAACAGCCTTAATTTTCTCAACACAAAATTCATACATAGCCTCTGATGTGAGAATTTGGTTTCTGTATGGTCGTTTTAAACTTTCTTGTGCTGTTAACCTTTTTACAGTACCACCAATTCCATCGCATGGTGACTTTCCGTGGGACGTGGCAAAAAAGTTCCATTCAATTTTGAGGGAAAATTCTGTCTCTAGTTGGCATAGATTGTAAAAGCTTTTACAATTTTTGTACTGTCCTGCACAACCATCAGTGAATAAATGCAATTTGGATAAATCAAGAAATTTTGTTTTTAATATTGGTATAATTAGTTGAAATATCTTGTATACATAAGTTACATCGTGTATAATGTCGTCTGATATAAAACAGTAAGAAATATGTTTCACTACACCATTTTCTTCTTTATAGTATATCACTAATGGATGTAAAGAACATTGTTGGGTGTTCCAGTGATAGCTCTGTATTTCATCTTGGACTACAAAAGCATAATTTTCAGCAAAGTCGCCAAGAATGATAATGTTTGATTGATCCATATTTTCTTTTAGTTGATTAAGGTATTGTGATTGAGATTTGGCAATATAAGAATGAGATTGTAGCTTTTCAAAACAAGATACCAATAGTTCAATAAACGTTGGAACATCTGTTGTTAAACTCAATAGTGTTGCACGATCAGTAGTTTGCCATTGTTTGTAGTGTATCTCAAAATCATCTTCGTATTCTCCAAAAATCTCATACAAATACATGGTGAGCAGTTCTTTACCAGGACAATTATCACACTGTGCAAGCATGCATTCTTTGTTTTCTACTGAGCAAACAGTTTTCAAAAGTAAATCCTTATACGTTAGTTCAATATTTAAGGCATCCACTAGCAAAATGGCATTTTGGTGATAAGAACAAACACAAACAGAATGTGTACCACTTGCACCTGGCAAAATGCACCACTTTGGTCTAAGTGAAGCAAATTTTGAGTAACTTATTTGTATTTCTGGATTGTTTTCTTTGTATAATACATATAGTTCCTTTAAATTACACAAAAGCAGTTTTTTTTGTTTGTGGACGTTCTTTTGAATGCTGACATAATCTTTTTTTCCAGGCATAGTTCGACATAAATCACTTGAGTCATAAAACAATTTAACTGAATCTTCTATTTCTTTATGTAAGACTTTACCCTTATACAATGGAGAGATACCTAACAATCCTTTTTTATTAAAAATTTTTCTAGCCTTCTTGGCCTGGTATTCTGTAACCGAAAAGTTATTTTGTACTTCTAATATTGACCAACTTGGGGGTGCCAGTGTTAGAAGTTGAACAATAGTTCGTTTGTCAGAACATAGAATTTTTTCTTTTACCAAGCTCATAATTTCATCAAAGTTTGCAGCCTTCTTTTTCATCCCATTGGTTTCATAACATAGTTTTGAGGAAAATTGAGTTTCAATTTTTCTAGTAGCGTTATACGCCATTTCGTTGATGCATGCAACTTTTTGCTTTCCTTCTGACAGTATATGTTTTAATGATTTTGAATGAGATTTTAGAGGAGATAAACTAAAATTTTTGAGTTCTTTATTGATCTCCTGTCTTATTTTTTTGCATGGTGATATTAGAAAATCCTCATCTTGTTCACTCTTACTTTGCTCCTCTTCTGTAAGTTCTTTTTTTCTGGCAATCTTTTGTTTACAAGGTTTGCAAAGTTTCTTCCCAGGAGGAATATTCAAACAATTTCTCATCATGACTTGTGACTCTTTTATTGTAACTACGCCAAGATTTTCTAAAAGTAATTGAATTGTATAAAGTATGTCTGCACATTAGTTCAAAACTTTCGTTTATTTTTTGAAAAACATAAATTAATGAAATATTTAAATTTTACAGCTACATACTTGTGATTTTCTTTGTATGTCTATTGAATGGATCACAACAAGCTTTCTGCCATATAGGATACATTTTCAAATATTTTGTATTATGTCTTTCACATAATATTTCTAAGTTTGATAAATTAATATTACAGCGTAAAGATATAATTATTTTTTCTTCATTGCTTAAAGTTTCAATAACATCTTGTTGGCCTTCGCAAGCATCTGATGTCATTAACCCAATAGAACACATCTTAATAAGATAAATTATTTAGTATAAAAGTATTTCCTAAAAATAAAAATAAAATTCTTCTGCTTAATTGTATGTAAAAAAAGTTTTTTAATAAATATAATTTTTAATAAATGTTGTTCTTAATATTATTATTATTAATATTAATAATAAATGTTGTAAAAAAAGAAGTTTTTAAATAATTATATTATTTAAATTATTAATTTTTTAAAATTTAAATATAATCTTACCAATAAATGTTGTTCTATATCTGAACTTTTATAAACTAAACTTTTATAAACTCATTTTTAATAAACTTTTACAAACTATAGTTGTCAAAATTAAAAAAAATATCATATTAACATAACAATTATTTTTTATAAAATGTTTTTATATAAAAACAAAACCGGATGTTTTTTCAGTTGTTAAGTTCATATAATTAAGTTATCATATAATTAAGACTTCCTTAAATATATAAAAAGTCTATTAACCAAAATTAATTCTTTACAAAATTCTATAATTTGCTACACATGTACTATCTTTAGGAAGATTTTTAGCAGCTTTTAAGTGATGCCATACCCTTTTAATTTTTTAATTAGTTTGCAATGAAGTGTATTGAATGCTTTTGCAGTAAGAAAAAAGCAATTCGAAGGATACAAAAAAAAAAAGAACTTTCCTACTTAGTTTTCAGTAAAAAAAAAAGCTCTAGTTTTAAATATATTAAATAATGATATAGTATTAGATATTTCCAAATCTTTGGCTGTAGGATAATTGGAGCTTGATAAGAGTTAACAATGATGTCTCAACTTATCATCTACAACTTATCACTACTAAGTAACTACTGTTCATACAAAGTAGTTTGATATGTTTTATTGGCTAAATGGTTTAAATGACAGAGATATGGCAATGCCAGGTGTTATTGAAACACTATTCTCCTCCCCTCTAACTGTAATAAAAAAAAGTTGTTTTCACCATATCTTTTGCAATATGCTTTTTTTTAAGTATTCTTGGTAAATTGAACTAAATTAGAACATCACTAAAAATATTTTGTTGTTCCCTCACCCCTCCCCCTCGTTAGAAAATTGCTATGGGCACCCATAAAAGTGGTGTATCTTGGAAACTATGGTTCTATATGTTTTAGTTGTTTTTCCAGTTAGGTTTTTTGTGCCTAGTAAGATAATAAGTAGCTAAAAATATTAAAAGC